TAAAAAAAAAAAAAAAACACTGCACAAGTAAAACAATACACCCCCCCACCATACACATAAAAAGATACTACCCGTGCACAGATAAAATAATAACCCCTCCCCCCACATAAAAAGATACTACCCCTGCACAAATAAAATAATACACCCCCTCACATATAAAATAACACAGCCCCCCTCCCCAGCCCCCCCGCACACTCACATGTATAAGGTAATACAAAGACCCCTCTCCTGCTTACCTTTTTGCAGGGAGGAGGCTGTGTGTGGAGGCACGATCTCTGGATTGTATTAGTGAGGTCTGCAGCAGACCTTACTAATCGATTACCGATTGCCGACACAGAAGCAGCTCTGCGGTCTGCATTCGACATAGATGCAGACCATGGAGCCGCTTCCACAAGTCGGGTACGCGGCGGCCTGTGACCGCGTACCCGACTTGTGAGCTGGCTGCGGCCCATATAGTATCGGCTCACGGGCCTCAACTGGCCCGCGGGCCAGTACTTTGAGACCACTGCTCTACAGTGTTCGGGTTTGGCTTGAAGAAAAGGTGGCAACCCTAGTGTAACATGAAACATGGTATAAAACATAAACATCAATACCAGAGGTTGTTGCCACTTCATTATCATGCCAATTCTTTACAATTATGGGTATGCCGCTGGGGAAGTCGGAAATGGAGAAAGATTTGGGGGTCTGTATTTGTCTGTATTTTAGGCACTATTACACAAACTTTTTCTTACTTTGACTATTGTACTTCGTACACAGATTTGAAGATGCTGCCTTTAACCAGTTGACATCCGGAGTTGTTAAACCCCCTTCGCATTAGGAGCCAGATGACTGACAGGTGAATGCTGAAGTGATGTAAAACTTCCGCTGATCTCCCTCCCTCCTCCTCCTGACGCCCTTCCGAGCAGGTCCCGGGCCGCAGATGGGCTAGCGGATCCCGGGATTAAAGGTGAGGGGTCAGGAGGGGGGAGATGGCGGCACTCGCGATCGGGGGGGGCTCCCGAAATTCACGCCATACAACCGATCGGCGGCTATAGAGCCGCTGATCGGTCGTATGTGAAACAGCCGTTAACGGCTGTAGTAACGAGCGGGTCTTTCCTGCCCGTGC